TCACACGTCACTGCTCAACATTAACCTCAGTGACCACGATCATCAACGTTCACACAAGAAGTGTGAAACTAATAGTCTTTTAACAATGTAATTCATAGTGAATTGAATCTACAGAGAGAGAGAGAGAGAGAGAGAGAGAGAGAGAGAGAGAGAGAGAGGGGAGAGAGAGAGAGAGAGAGAGAGAAGGAGAGAGGAGAGAGAGAGAGAGAGAGAGAGGAGAGAGAGAGAGAGAGAGATGAGAGAGAGAGAGAGAGAGAGAGGAGAGAGAGAGAGAGAGAGAGAGAGAGAGAGAGAGAGAGAGAGAGAGGAAAAAATGTGTAGCAGGTAGGTACAATGTTCGTCAGGAAACAGTACAAGTGTTTCCTGACGCGGGTCTTTGTCATATGATGACCCGGAGCTGGAATTTTTGTCACCTGACCGAGACCTTCCACTGGCTTACCCCTCCACCACCTTTAAAAATAATCCTTATAATTATAACCGTTCTAACGTTAAGGCGAAAAAAAATATAAATGAATTATTAAAACTCATAAATCAGAAAATAGAACCAGAAGGGATAGCACCATGTTTTTTTTTTATTAAAATAATATCCAGAAGAAATACACTATCCACTTTGTAATATTGTTTAACAATTTCAGTACAAGACGGAAATGGGCAGATAAATGGCGGATGTCCTTTTTCTTTGAAAGGGAGAGAAAAAAAATGGAAAACGCAGCTTTAGAAAAGTTCATTGAACACTCAAATATACTTAACGTACCAAAAATTTGAACCTACATAACATACAGAGACTTGAACCTACATAACACAGAGAGACTTGAAACTACATAACATACAGAGACTTGAACCTACATAACACACAGAGACTTGAACCTACATAACATACAGAGACTTGAACCTACATAACATACAGAGACTTGAACCTACATAACATACAGAGACTTGAACCTACATAACACAGGAGCTTGAAACACATAACATACAGAGACTTGAACCTACCATAACATAAGAGATTGAACCTACATAACACACAGAGACTTGAACCTACATAAACATACAGAGACTTGACCTCATAACACAGAGAGACTTGAAACTCATAAATACAGAGACTTGAACTACATAACATTACAGAGACTGAAACCTACATAACACACAGAGACTTGAACCTACATAACATACAGAGACTTGAACCTACATTAACACAGAGAGACTAAAAAACTACATAACATACAGAGACTTGTGAACCTAATAACATACAGAGACTTGAACCTACATAACATACAGAGACTTGAACCTACATAACACAGAGGACTTGAAACTACATAACATACAGAGACTTGAACCTACATAACATACAGAGACTTTGAACCTACATAAACACAGAGAGACTTGAACCTACATAACATACAGAGACTTGAACCTACATAACACACGAGAGACTTGAAACTACATAACTACAGAGACTTGAAACTACATAACAACAGAGACTTGAACCTACATAACATACAGAGACTTGAACCTACATAACACACAGAGACTTGAACTACATAACATACAGAGACTTGAACCTACATAACATACAGGAGACTTGAACCTACATAACACACAGAGACTTGAACTACATAACATACAGAGACTTGAACCTACATAAAAAAACCCATACATAGAGACTTGAACCTACATAACTACAGAGAGACTTGAACCTACATAACATACAGAGACTTGAACCTACATAACACACAGAGACTTGAAACTACATAACATACAGAGACTTGAACCTACATAACATACAGAGACTTGAACCTACATAACATACAGAGACTTGAAACTACATAACATACAGAGACTTGAACCTACATAACATACAGAGACTTGAACCTACATAACATACAGAGACTTGAACCTACATAACACACAGAGACTTGAAACTACATAACATACAGAGACTTGAACCTACATAACATACAGAGACTTGAACCTACATAACATACAGAGACTTAAAAACTACATAACATACAGAGACTTGAACCTACATAACATACAGAGACTTGAACCTACATAACATACAGAGACTTGAACCTACATAACATACAGAGACTTGAACCTACATAACACACAGAGACTTGAACCTACATAACATACAGAGACTTGAACCTACATAACACACAGAGACTTGAACCTACATTAACACACAGAAACTTGAACCTACATAACACACAGAGACTTGAACCTACATAACACACAGAGACTTGAACCTACATAACATACAGAAACTTGAACCTACATAACACACAGAGACTTGAACCTACATAACACACAGAAACTTGAACCTACATAACACACAGAAACTTGAACCCTACATAACACACAGAAACTTGAACCTACGTAACACACAGAGACTTGAACCTACATAACACACAGAAACTTGAACCTACATAACACACAGAAACTTGAACCTACATAACACACAGAGACTTGAACCTACATAACACACAGAGACTTGAAC